CTCAAATGTTCATGTTTCCAGAGCTTCTGGGTTTTGACTGAGAATTTCTGATTGCAAGTAACCAAAGCCAAAGTCCTTCACAGTAACTCAAGCAACAAAACAAATTGAATTGGCTCATCCAATAAGGAGGTGGAGGCAGTGGTGTAAAAATAGCTTTAGATATAGGTGTTTAAAAGAACCTTAGAATTCCTTACTAATGCTACTATTCTGTTTCCAATGAACTTTCTCCACAAGGCAGAATAGCAGCTCCCATGAACTCCAGCCTTCTTTGTCCCTAGAGCTCATGAAGCCAGAGAAGAAAAGACCATCTCACCACAGGGCCCACGACAATTCTCCACAATGATTACAATTGCTGTTCTTGGGTCACATAGCTGCCCAGGGGCTGGGATGCCGAGCCACATGATTGACAGTCCTACTAGAATCCCTAAGGCTTGGTAGTGCTGTTTCCCAAATGAAACATGTCGGAGTGTTCTTACTAAATTAAAGGGTGAGAAATTTAGGGCATTCAAAACAAACAACAAAAAAAAAATCAATAACAGATGTCCATTACAGCTGGCCTTATCCAGTATAGCTGTCTTCCTAAAACTGGCAGACATAGATTAAAACCCAGGTCTGCCTGATTCATTTCATAACCAAATGCCACATTCCTTTAGAAATCCTAAAGTCAAGGAAAGTGTTGCCTAAAATTTTTAGACAGATGGTGAGCACTATTTTTGGATGCCCATGTTGGTGAGTCAATCAGTCAATAAATATGTATTAAGTATCCACTACTATGAGTCTAAGGAGCCCTGGTGGTTTAATGGTTAGTGTTAGGCTGCTAACCCAAAAGTTAGTAGTTTGAACCCACCAGCAGCTCTGCAGGAGAAACAACCTGGTGATTTGCTCCATAACTGAGTCAATTCCAGCTCATAGTGGCCCTATAGGACAAAGTAGGTCTGTCCCATGGAAATTCTGGGGATGTAAATCTTTACAGGAGTAGACTGCCACGTCTTTCTCCCTCTGAGCAGCTGGTAGTTTGAATCTCCAACTTTTTGCTTAGCAGCAGAGCACTTTAACCACAATGTCATCAGGGCTCCTTCCCATATACAAGCTAGTAAATCCTATAGAGAGGTTCTACTTTGTCATAGAGGGTCTGTATGAATAGAAATAAATCCCACAGCACACAACTATGAGTCCAGGAGTCCCTGGATGATGGAAACCATTAAGTATTCTACTATTAACCAAAAGGTTTGGTGGCTGGAACCCACCCAGAGATGCCTTGGAAGAAAGACCTGGTGATGTGCTCCCAAAGGTAACAGCCTTGGAAACCCTATGGAGCACAGTTCTACTCTGCAACACATGGGATCACCATGAGTAGGACATCAACTCTAAAGCAACTAGTAACTGGTACTATGAGTCTACAGTATATATCCTACAGGCAAAGAAAGAACAAGTGGCCTAGTCCCTGCCTGCGAGGTGGTAACAATAAAGTTGGCAAAACAAAACAAATACACATTCAAGAAAACTTTAGGCTAAATTGTGTGGTATTCATAACATATCCTTCAGCCAGACTCATCACCTTTGAAGTTCCTGTTGAGTCTGTCATCCCCTTTAGACAGACTGCAACCTAGAAGTACCTCTCTTCTTGAGGTCATTGCCGCATCCCAAGTGTAGTTGTTCTAGAATATTTGTTGAATATTAACATAGACTATGGTCATGGTATCAGGATTGGAGGAAGACTCATTAACAAGGTGTGATGTGCAGACGACACAACTTGCTTGCTGAAAGTAAAGAGGACTTAAAGCACTTACTGATGAAGATGAAAGACTACAGCCTTCAGTATGGATTGTACCTAACCTAAAGAAAACAAAAATCCTCACAACTGGACCAATAAGCAACATCAAGATAAATGGAGAAAAGATTGAAGTGGTTAGGTATTTCATTTTACTTGGATCCATAGTCAACACCCATAGAAGCAGCAGTCAAGGAATCAGATGTAGTATTGCACTGGGCAAATGCGCTGCAAAAGACCTCTTTACAATGTTAAGAAGCAATTATATCGCTATGAAGACTAAGGTACACCTAACCCAAGCCACGGAATTTTCAATATCCTCATATGCATGTGAAAGCTGGACTATAAATAAGGAAGACCTAAGAAGAATTGATGCCTTTGAATTGCGGTGTTGGCAAAGTATATTGAAAATACCATGGATTGCCAGAAGAATGAACAAATCTGTCCTGGAAGAAGTGCAGTTGGAATGTTCCTTGGAAGCAGGAATGGCCAGACTTCATCTCACCTATTTGGTCATGTTGTCAGAAGGGACCATTCCCTGGAGAAAGTTATGCTTGGTAAAGTAGAGGGTCAACAAAAAAAGAGAAGACCCTCAATGAGATAGATTGACACAGTGGCTGCAACGATGGGCTCAAGTATAGCAAGGACTGTGAGGATGGTGTAGGTTTGGACAATGTTTCATTCTGTTTTACATAGATAGGGTTGCTATGACCTGGAGCCTATTCGATGGCACCTAGCAATAACAACAGCATGGTCATGGGAGGTTTCACAGGAAGAATAACTCTTGAGTTACACTTACAAAATAGATAATTTGGGGATAGGTCAAAAAATGAAGGACACTCGGCAATTAGTCAGCATTCTATAAATGTGGAAGGAATGACCAAAAGGAGGAATAATGTGGGAACATGTAAAGGGATGGAAGTGTGGTGTGTACAGGGACAAGAGAGAGAATAGGACGGAATGGAGCACTATACTGATCCAGAAATCTAGGCTAACTCACAATTTTTAGCAGCTATTGTCAAATTTACACAGTCTCTAAGTCTTAATTCCTTTATTTGCAACTTAAGGAGGATGGAGTCTATAATGCTTAACTACTCTCTGGTCCCTCCATTGAGTCCAGAAAATCACAAAACTGTTAATGATCAGATTCCCCGAGGAAGAAAGAATGTTGAAAATATTGATATTGATACAGAAATCTACATATTTCTTAAACTTCCAAAGGTGATCAAGTAGATTTCAGGGATAAATGAAGGAGGATAAACACATCCTAAACCAAAAACCGAAACCAAACTCACTGCCGTGGAGTCGTTCCCGACTCACAGTGACCCCTTTTTTGGATTCTGAGGCGTGTTATCACTAGGGAAGTAGATTGCCCAACCTTCCTGCCAAGAAGTGGCTGGTGGGTTTGAACTGCCAGCCTTCTAGCTAGCAGTCAAGTGCCTTAGCCACTACGCCATCAGAGCTCCCAAATACATCCTACACCCTCCCCACCACCAAAAAAAAATAAAAATAAAAAAATAAACCTCACTGCCTGGAGTGGATTCGACTCATTGTGACCCTTCTTGGGTTTCCGAGGCCGTTATCTCTACAGAAGTAGATGGCCCAATCTTCCTTCCGAGGAGTGGCTGGTGGGTTCCCACATCCTACACATAAAGTTACAAATCTTCACAAATTGTAAAATTCATAAGTTAATATATGTGAAACTAGCCTGTATAAGCTAAATACAAAAAGATTAAGAGGAACCTCAAAACTCCAGAAAGGTTCCCTGTTTTCACAAAACAAGGGTGCTTTGTGCCCTGGTGTGAAAAGTGTGCGTTTTGTGAGTTGGTGTGGCAGGATGGAGTTGTCATCTCTCAGCCGCTGACTGGAGCTGGAGAGGGCGACTTGTACCTAACTGTGGTCTTCTCTCTAAGGGAGCTGCGAGTCCTTTTCTCCCCTTATGCTGCAGGTTCACACTAAGACACTTTTTGAAAAGTGTTCACCCAGTTGCGGTAGACCCCATAGAGTTCCCTGGGCTGTAACCTTTATAGAAACAGACTGCCACATCTTTCTGCCCGGATGGGTTGGGTTCAAATGGCGGATGTTTCGGTTAGTAGCCCAGAGCTTAACCACTGCGCCATCAAGACTCCTTTGGAAAAGTGTAAAAACCCATTTTAGTCTGGCTCTCTTCAGCGGTCCTCACAGCCTCACACCTGCCAGGCCCCGGGCGTGTTTCTGAGAACCCTGGGAAGAACACTCGGGCTGAAAATGCTCCCGGACAAAAGCCAAGCGCTGTCTGCAGCATCGCTCCGGTAAAGGTGACCTCCGTGGAATCCCAAAATACTCTTTAAAAAAGAATTAGTTATCTCGACTTCCCCACCCCGGATGAGTTAAGAAGGCAGAATAGGAGTGCTCACTCAGGAGCTCTATTTATTTAGCGATTGGCCCAGCACTTTGATTTCAGGGCAAAAGCGAGCCAGACAGTGAGGCATGAGGTAAGGATCAAAAAGGCCACCCGTCGTTAGCCGTGGGACGTCTGCCTCTGTACCCTGATAATGCAACTATTATTTCTGCACTACCTTTCAGCTTTTGAGGGGAAAAATAATAATAATAATAAGCGCTCCATTTATTCCATCCATGAGTCGAAGAGGGCTCAGAGAAAACATGTTGCCTCATTTGGTCCCTGCATGTCTGTGTGGATGTGAAGTAGGTCCCTCCGGTCTCTCAGATGTGGGTCGCCTGGACGCAGGAGGGGGTAGGGTCCCCCTGCCCCGCGCGCGGCGCTGAGCGCTGGAATCGGCCCCACCAAGGCTCGGCAGAGGGCTCGCCAGCACCTCGCGCCGCCTGCCGCCTGCCCGCCCCGGACTCGGGGAAAGGAGGGAGTACAAGCGAGCAGGGCAAGCGGGGCCGGGCTGGGGGTGCTTGGGAAGCCGGGCTGCGCTGACGTCACTGGGCGCGCGATTCAGGCTGGAGCGCTTTAAAAAACAAGCGTGCGAGCGGAGATGCTGCTCCAGACAGCGCAGGCCGCCTGCAGCAGCAACACGCACCGCCACTGCCGCAGCTGCGGCGAGGGTCGCTCCAGAGGCAGGCGCCGCAGCGGCGGGTCCCGCGGCGACTCGCTGCGCTTCTCCTTCGCGCTCCCGCGGCGGACAGGAACAGCAAGACCAGCGCCGCAGGCGCCAGCTGAGCGGCAAAAGCCCGCCGAGCGGCGCCCGGCGAGCCACAGTCTGAAGCAACCCGCGCTCTGAACTCCGCCAGTGTCCCGCTCGTGCGCCCCTGCCCTGGGCACCATGGACACTTCCAGGGTCGGCGTGCTACTGTCCTTGCCCATTCTGCTGCAGCTGGCGGCCGGGGGCGGCTCGCTGAGGCCCGGCACACCGCCACGCGGGTGCCCCACGCACTGTCAGTGCGAGCCCGACGGCAGGATGCTGCTCAGGGTAGACTGCTCCGACGTGGGGCTCTCCGAGCTGCCCTCCAACCTCAGCGTCTTCACCTCCTACTTGTAAGTGCGCTCACACCACACACCCGAAGGGAGGCTGAGAAAGGAAGGGGAGGCTGGCCCAGGGCAAAGCAGGGGCTTCGGGCGCCCTTCCACCCTGGAGGGGGCGGGTGAGCTTGCCAAGGCCACAGGGGCCAGACCTGCGTGGTCCCCAGGGAAACGCACACGTCCCTGCTGTGAGTGAGCCCGCACTTTCTGGGGACTGCAGAGAAACCTCTTCAAGTGCAACCTGAGAAAGTGCTGGTGCCAGAAGACGTCCCCGCCCAAAGCTAGGCAAGTTGCAGGGTAAATGCTTCCGTGCTGTAGACATTTGGGTGCAGGCTGGACGTTCTTGCCACTGGAACTTGGAATTCAAGGTCAGGATGTCTCGCCTCAACCTCCCCTGGGCATCCAACCGGAATCCAGGAGGAGACGCGATGCCATGGTCTCCCCAAAGGAGAACTCCAACTTGCCCAGCTTAAAAGTGACCTACTCTGCAATCCCTGCATCGCTGAGTGATGTAACCTTTTTCTTTTTTCTTTTCCATTCCTTCCTTTCTTTCTTTTCTCCTTTTCCTCCTTCCCTTCTTCCCTCCCTACCTTTCTTTCTTCTTTCCTCCCTCTCTTCCTTCTTCCCCTTCTTTCAACGAAGTGATTAAAATGTGGCAACCACAAACCCCTTGATTAGCGCTGCCAGAACGTTATCTTTACCTTTGGCTGCCCGAGCGGCCCTTTGAAGTGCCCGCGGCCGCGGTGTAATCTTTAACCATCTCCTCCTCCCGGGGAGGAAAAGGGAAGTAGGTTGAAGGCAGAACGGGTAAACAGCGGCGCCGGCTTCCAAGGGGCGACCTACAGCTCTCTGTCATTCCTCGCTGAGCCCCCTCCATCCTCCCACCGCAACTTCCAAAACCCTAACCGCGGAGGTGAGGCAGCGGCTAGTTTCGTAATTTGGGTTTTCCAACCCAGGCCCAGAGGGTAACAGGTGGTTGGGCTGATGAGGCGGCCCAGGAGGAAGCTGATTCTCGGGGGCTAAAATTATCACCCTTCTTGGAGAAATGGGGCTCATTTCACTCAGGACAAGAGATCAGGGTCGGTGACACTGTGGGAAAACAGGCGCTCGCGACCACAAGGGGACACGTTTGGGTTTTAATTCGAGGCACGGCAGTGAGCCCACCCCAAGCTCATGCAATCTTTTTCGGCTTCTCTGATGTGCCTTGGCAGGAACGAGTTGGGATGTTTATGAACTCGTTCTTTCCTCTGCTGAGCTGTTTTCTGGAGGGAAGCAACATGACGAGGCTTGCGCAACGTTTTGCACTAGGTAGTGATTCTTTTTCTAGAGGCAGAGAGAAAAGGAAAATAATATATATATTCTTTACTTGCCTTAAATTGCTGTTAAAGAGAGGACCCATCCTGTTGTATTTTAGTTAAACTATGTTGGCTGCTTTTCCTTATCTTGAAAGGCTTATAAAATGATTCGTTTTCCCACCAAGTTTCCCTACCGTCACGCTGATTGCTTATGGTAGGGAGTAGTGAGGCAAATCTTCTCTCCTAAAGGATCCTTCCCTAAGAGTTCACATTTCCCCCTCCTGAGCAGCTACCTCTGCTACAGAGTGAAACTCATCCCCAACCTTTCTGATTTAACTGCTAAAATAAGTGTTTCAAGAACCATGTATTCCATAGTGAATTTCTGAGCTCAGTTTGGCAATTTCACTTAAGCGCTTACAACTTTTCTTCTTCATCACCCTGAATAAATTTGACTATATCCAAGGCAGAGGTATAATCCCCTAAACATTTAATCTACTACTTAAATCATCCACTTCAGTTATAACATGTGTTTAAGAATACAGCAAATACATTTATGAAGAGTGTCAGGATGCTTTTTTCCCTGCTATTTCAAAGGGAAAACACTTGTTAAGTCTTCTGTTACTGAAAGTTGCCATAAAATGGTGCTTTAAACTATTTCCCACATACCTCAAATGCATTTAACTGTGTCCTCCATGTGCTCAGGACATGTTACCACCACAATTCCCTGTTTCTTCTATCTATACACAGAGGTAAGACACCATTAAGAAGCTAATTGTCATATATTTCTTATGCTATTTGATGACAGCCTGTGCCCTGATTTAAGAGGAAATTTCCCAAATGTCCTATAAATTATTAAACTCAGAATGTCTGTAAAAAGTGACACGGTGAATACTAAAGACTTGCTTCTAAAGGTTAATGTTTCAGGGAATATGAGTGCTGACTGTAGAAGCCAATTCTGAGAAAAATAACCAAGTTACTGAGTGATTTCAGAACTTGGTTTCCTTATAGGGTATAAAATGCCAGGGGCCATGGCATGCCCTTCCTTTGTGGGTTGATGGTGTGTTTTTTTGGTTTTGTTGTCATTGTTTGTTTGTGTTTTGTCTTTTTTTCTTTACAGCCGATGGAACAGACTTTAAGGGTCAATGATGCCCTCTTTTGGTTACACCTAGTATTATCCTCCCTTTTCTGCCTTTACTTCAACAATCATAACTCAAAAGAGAAATTGGGTTTATTCGTATCCAAATAAGTGAGCCTGTGCTTTACTGCTTTATTATTATTATTATTTTAAGAAATAACCTGCCTTTGCTTTTGAAATGGGACATTAATTTACAGTGCATTGTGCCCAGTGGTAACTCTGTCGTGAAAGTTCGAGTATGCAGAGATTGATGTGGGTAAAGGGCCAGGACTATTGTTTATTGTTTGTAGTCGGTTATCACCACTTACTTAAGTCAAAGTGTTATCTCTTTATCTTCCTCCCCTTCCAAAAGACAAGATTTCATTTTCTTCAAACAGATTGATGATGGCAAGTTCCAGCTATACATATTTGGCAAATAAGTTTCCTAATGACGGCACATAACAACAACAACAACAACAATGTCTGAAAACAGGCTAGTCAGACTTGTAGGTAAAGAAAGTTTCCTAAATCTTTTAATAGAAGTCAAGAGCTGTTTATGTACAGTTATACAATCTTTCTTCCCCAGAAAAGCTAAATCTCCATCCAGTTCAAACATTAATATTAACTCTCTTCTTATTGAACTGCATTTCCCAACAGATCTGTAATTAGACCACTGAACATGGGTGGTGGAAACATTGGAAATATCTCTCTGTCTGTCTGTCTGTCTGTCGTCTAGTGGTTGTAGAGTCAGCTTTTACTAACAGGGGCTAATAAAAGTCACTCAGTAGAAAATCAGGAGCAAGCCAAAGTTGAGATATAAAAACAGACAATTGGTTACATTTAATTTATTTAAATCTGTCAGTAGTCATCTTTCAGAAATAATGTAGTTCTAGTATCTAATCTTATTATAGGTAAGCTATTTTTATTCGTGAAACATGAACATGCTAATAGGGGCTTAAAAGTAAGTACTTATATGCTTCTTTGATATGTCTTCCAACTGTATTGAATATCCTAAACAGTAAAGACACTTATCTTTATTGATCTAGAACAATTTATTTTTAAAATGAAAAGTGAGTTTTTCTCTGCTGTTGCTTAGAGACATAGACATCTTTTTCTCAAGCAAACTTTTGTTGTATGAATCAAGGGAACTGGGAGAAGGGGATTTTGTGTGCTTTTTTTTAGTACTTTTCCATTTATAACTTTTCTTATAAAAAAATTAATGCTGCTCATAATTAGTAAAACTGATTTTAATAAGAACTGATCAAAAATCTCAATTAGTTAAAGTAAGTATAGCCCCTGGTGTCATGTATATCTTTCAAGCATTTAAGATGCAGTTTCAAGATTAAAGAATATTTTTGGAATCTTTTCTGGAAATAGTTTGATATATTTCTGCTTCCCGTCAAGAAAAGAAAAATATTTTAAGTAAAAGAAAATGTTTCTACTTTCTAAATGGTTACAAAAGCCTTAACTGTTACAATGGTCTTAAAATTTAGATCAATTGCAAAATTCATACAATTTTCTCTACAATCTACTCTTAAAATTTGTTTAAAATATAATGCTGTCGATGACTTTTCTGGATTCTGATGAAATATTTTATTCCAGGATTCCCAGTTGGGTTTTTTCCCTCTTCAGTAATGTTTTTGTTATGTAGACAATTAATGAAAGAAATTGAATAAATCAATCTAAATGATTTTTTAAATAAAAATTTTTATATGGAAAAGTAGTGATTAGTTCCAAATGTATGTCAACAATTTTGCCATACGTTTAGAATAAATATGAAAATAGATGCTTCATACAAATGTATTTTACTTTGTTTAACATGAGCTGCGAGAACTTTGTGACAAGAATGGTTTTTCACATATAATAAATACCATCGTCTACAACCAGTTTCTTCTTTCCTTGTGTATTTTCTTCAAGGCAAAGGAGTAAGAAAGAGCAGTGATCACGTGTGAGTTAGAAGATTGGAATCAGGAAATAACCTTTGTAGTTAAATAAAATGATGTGTTGATACTGGGACCATGCACATTTAGATGTATTTAAACACGTCCAGAAACACAGAACTGGTCTCAGACTTCTGAGAGATAAATTATTTATAGAAATATTTGATTGTTTTTCATTTCCAAAACACATAACTGTGAAGAAATAATACCTGAGTAAGCAATTAACCTAATAAAACTTTCATCACATTAAAGAAATCACAGTATATTTGTAGTTTGATAACTACTGCCTAACTTCTACTAATATTAGTAAAACATTTTTTAAAAAATACTTCTTCCATTAAATAATGCATTTGTTATTTGAGCTATAAACTTAAGGATGCTTCCAGTTAATCCAAATCATATGCCATCAATAGAACTAAAAAGCAGTAATAGTGAGTCTGCATTAGCCATTTTGTAAATAGTTTTGGTTTTGTTCAGTTACTCACATGAATTTAGAATAATGCTAAATGGCACATTACCTTGTAAATATCCTTCAAGTAGGTATTTCAGGTAATTGAATTCTTCATGAGAAGGCAAATTCCTCCCTATGAGATTCAACTCCTCATTCCTGTTACAATCTTCTCATTCAAAGGGTCTCATTCTGTATAGAGAAATGAGTCAGACTGG